CAAGAAAACACGGTGAAGAAATGAAATTTTCAGGGAAAATTGGGGTTATGGGAAATATGCGGGCTTTTGGAGTTTTATGAGACATAAAGTCTTTAAATAATGAGGAAACCTGGCATTTTCAATCAGGACAAATGATGACAAATGTGTGTTTTCAAACAGGAACACTCAAGCAGGAAATATATATGGTGACTCCGGCGAACATGTTGATTTCGTTTTGAAAAATGAGGAATTTACATATTCTTGCGACAAGGACGGGGAGTTTCTTTTAAAGGGAACAAATCAATTAAATAGGTATATCACTACACAGTTTCTTTGTTTTTATCCTTTGTTTCCGGGGATTTACCATCCGGTTTTATGTAGACTGGTTGGTCGAGATATCACTGTTTTTTCAACGACAATAGAGGACAATAATCTATACCATTTGGTTATTTAACATAGCCATGGAAAATCCCTTATAAATGGAGGTTTTCATGGGAAAATCATCTATAAATGGGCCATCTATACCATGGCTATGTTAAATAACCAGAGGGTAAATATCTATAAATAGGAGATTCAACATTGCCAGGGTGGATTCTTGAGTAATAAAAAAGTGTAAAATGGAGGCGGGTCAATGCCTACGGGACCAAAACACTGGGTGAATGAACATTTGCATTACATCTATATATATATATATAGATATTATATACATATACGCACAAGACGGTGGGTTCGCCGTTGGCTTGAAATGAGAAATCTGGTGCAACTTAACAACTGACAGTTTCTTGCCTTTTGTTTTCCGAAACGTATTGCAGCCAGGCTTGGTTTTCTGAAGTCACGAGGTGCCATTTTCAGTACCCCACCCCACCCCCACCCCGTGCGTGACGTAAGACATCTTCAGCGTAGCACCACGTACATGCGTAAGTGCAAGTGAACATCCAGTAGCGTAGCATCACAATGCATCACATCTGTACGCCATGCGTACTTGAACGTTATTAGCCCACCCCACCCCATCTCCCCATCCCACCCCACCCCACCCCACCCCATTTTTTATCGATGGCGAACCCACCGTGCTGCGGGTATATATATATATACATACACACACACATACCAGCTATTTTAATGTCAAAAGCCGGTATCTTGTAGTTTTGTCCCCATACACGAGTGATGAAAACCGCGAGTATCAAACCAGCAAGATTCTTGGTGATCAACAAACAATGTGCATTTCACCGACCAACATTTGATGCCAACATCAACGCATATTTGTGCTGTGGAAAGTTGCCAATCAATTGGGTGGGTCCACAAGGAAATCGTTTCCTTCAATGCAGTCATCATAATTGCTAGTTTGATCCCATCTGGCAGTGAAACTATCCCATTACGGGTACTTAATCTGATCTGGCCCGTCGCGCCGAGCCTCAGTGTCTTTTGATGTCCCCGGTGACCCGGTCTCCACGTCTATGAAGTTAAGGGATCATGCCGGTACTTGGAAAAATATGGAATCCTTATTTGAGGCCGTGGTTTGTTGCATACATTCCCTTCCTGATAGAACAACTATTCCATCAGAAATCCTGTTTTAGTACTGGATCTACAGTATACTTTTGGTGTCCTTGATGCTATACATAGATCTAAGGGCGATGTGATTATTCGTATATATTTTACTCTAATGTCTTCGCTCCTTACATACACTGTGGATCCAAGCACTTCCTGAGAAGGCACGGCTTATAACCCCCTAAATCATACCCCAGCCATACTTTCTAAGAAGGTACGACAGGACTCACACAGGGAGGATCTACATACATGCATGCATACATTCCATTAATAATCCATTAATTACATTATACTTTATACATTACGCTACATTACGCTATGTTACATTACAGTACATTACATTACATGCATACATACATACATATCCCCATGATTCCCCATGATATTCCCATTTTTTGGCGCCACTTTTTGTTGCTGAAATCCTGGTGAATCTCCATTGTTCATAGGTTTTTGTACCTTTCTTCACCCATTTTGGTTGATGAACCCGGCAGGTTCCACGTTTTGAGGACTTCAACTCCTACTTGGCTTCGAGTTCTTCGGCCCGTGAAAAAAAACCGTGAAAAATGAGGGATTTTTGCCGCCGTGATCTGCAGTGGGGCCCCCGTTTACATCCGTTTACGATAGCTAAGTTGGTGCAATTAAGTCCAATAACTATGGCTTACGATACTCATAACTCATAAGTAAAGTCTTCATGGGGTTTCTAATCCAATAAACATAACTGGGGGGCCCCAAATTGTAGTATATATGATTATATATGGTTATGTATATTGTACACTATTAGTAGATATAGACATTGCTGGATACTCACGGGATATATTAACATTAATTTTATTTGGTATGGTACCTGAAGATGGGAGACTTAACCCCAATTAAACATGGCGTAAAATTTATAGGGACAATTTCTATGAACGAACAGATGGAATCGATTTCACCCAATTATGTTTTGAGTGAATTACGGTACAACGAGGTCGTATGATGGTAAATGGCGGTATTAAAAAAAAAACGCAATTTCCGGTTGATAAATGACCATAACTCAGTCAGATGGATGTTTACCCTCTGGTAATTTAACATAGCTATTGAAAATCACCATTTTTAATGGGAAGATCCACTATAAATGGCTATTTTCAATAGCTATTTTGACATAACCAGAGGGTATATAAAGTGAGTTCCTGAAATGCTGGAAATGGCCTGCCGATCTCGTTTCAGGATTTTTCACTCAAAAGTAGATTTGGATGGATTTTACTAGCTGTACTCTGATAAATTATATATATAAGTTGTTGGATCCGGCATTCGTCTGGTGTGGTGTGGCATCCCGTGAATTTGGATGTTGAGTAAGGGGCATATATGGCATATCTATCATACCCGTTAAGGCATATTTATTTACGGCCAAAAATAACAAATATGATGTTATATGATCCATACGTGAATATATGAAATATTTTTTGGCACATACCCGTTTCTTGCATCACGTTTTCTCTTATTTTCGAAAATTAGACTTGGAAATTTCCTTCTGGCTGCATTATAACTCTCTGTGACGTCATTGGAATGATGGTGAAATCTTATACCCTCCGGTAAGCAAACGTGGCTGGCTGGGAAAACACCTATAATATCCTATAATTATATAAATGGAGTTTTAGTTCGCTCGCAAAATCCTCTATATAAACTTACTTGTGCTTAGTAGGGAATGAGGGAATGATTCGCAATAACTATCAATAATCATCCCATTCCCCCATTCCCCCATTCCCATCCATTCCCTACTAAGCACCACTAAGTAAATGAAGGATTTTCCAGCCAGCCATGTTTGATTTCCCGAGGCTATTCCCATCCCCATTTTTGTTGGGTAAATCTTATGTCAATCCTCACTAACAACCATAAAATCATAAAATCCAATTATATAATTCCCATTAAAATGTCCATTAATTCCCATTAATTCCCATTATAATTCCCATTAAAATTCCCATTAATTCCAATAAAAATTCCCATTGATTAAACTCATTCAACAAAACTCGAATCCTTGGCCAATCGCAGCATCCAAGGTTTGAAAATCACCTGGAGCCGTGGAATTTATCTCAGCGAGGACGATTCGCCCTGCCAATTTTCCATGTGGCACCTCGAGGTGTCGAGCCACCCTCCTGCCGTTTTGCCGGACTTTTCCGGGGTTTTCCTGGGGGCGGTGAAAACTAAGATCTGGTAAACATGGCCAAAAAGCGACATGGAACATGGCCATAGAAATCGTTGATTTACCCAGCTATAAAATGGTGATTTTCCATAGTTATGTAAACGTTTACCAGAGGGTAAGATGTTCTCTGAGTTTTTGTCGCTTGAGATGTTTATGAAATTCTATGAACATATTTAGTGTAGTGAAATGTATTGAAGCTGGAAAAAATCAGAACAGGTGTTTGAACCAAGCTGGGTCAAAATTGAAACCTTGGGCTTCTGTACAGAAACCAAGGTTTTTTTCGTGAGCGAGTCAAGCCTGAAGACTAAGCCCCAGCTGTCTTAGTCAATTGGAAGGTTACCCCGAAAAGGACAGCTATGACTTTTTTTTCTGGGAGGTTACCTCCCAATTGGAGGTTACCTTAAAAATTCATTGCTTAATGGGGGGAATAAAATTCTAGAACAAATCACTATAGTAGGTATTCCACATTTCGTTTTATAGCTATTAATTGGAAGGTTCTTCTCACGAAAATTGGTACCCTCGCATTACAAAACTTTTTTTTTTGTGGAGAGCTATTCTCCCATTGGGAAGCAGCGCAAATCCACTGGATGATCATGTCCAAAAAATGGTGGATGATGAAAATCTGTTACATGTTCCCTAATGATCATTGTGGCCCCAATTTAAGGCATACCTGATCATAGCTGTAGATCTTGAGGTGACCACTATCGCATATATAATCATATATATATATATATACCACTATATATATAATATATATATATATTATAAATATATTATATTATACATTTAAAACATACCTGTCCTTTGGCCATCAGTCGCTACATTGATATTGCCAGGGCCCATTCGTAGCCAGTAAAACACAACCGAGTCGTAGACGTCCTGGAAGATACTGAAATTTGGGCTTTCAGCATTCAACATGGCTACGATTGCCACGATTGCCATAGCATTTCCTGCGCTGGTATATTATTTCGGCTCAAAGAATTCGGAGCATACTCAGAGATTGTAGCAGTGTCGAAGGTTCCACAGGAAATTCTGACTTCCAATATGTTTGGGTAGATTCGTTTTGCTTTGGGTCAACCCTGTCATTTGGACGGTCAATACAAAAAAACAACATGTATGGCCCACTATGTATAGGCAGGCATTTACAAGGGGACAATTTTTCCGCGTCTTCAAATAGTCCACTAGAGACATCAACCATTTTTCCTCGACCCCCGCCACACCAAGTGATGTGAAACCCAGGAAATCTGCAGGGTCCCCCCGTAGATGCACCTGATTTTAGCACCAGACTGCAACCCCAATGTCCGATGTGTCGGACGCCATGCCAACCTATGTGCTCAGCTGGGGCGCGAACGAGACAGGACAGGGATGGAAATCCGATAAATCTAAGCCAGATATGATCCCCACATATCGGATTCTCCACTCCCAAGGGTACGCTCGATCATTCCATGAACAATCTCATGAGGAATGAGCGTACATACCTGGCATGAAACATCTTGAGTCATGTTGTGATTACAATTCCCAAGATAAGCTGCATGTTGTGACGATGTGCACAATCGCCCACAATAAATGCTCAGACAACTCAGACCTGTCAGCATGATGGTTGATAAATGTTGTGATACCCTCTGGTAAACTAACAGTTTGTTTGCTATTGAACATGGCCATTTAATGCCATTTATAGTGAATTTTCCCATTAAAATGGTGATTTTCCATAGTCATGTTAGTTTACCAGAGGGTAATATTGTGTGGCTTCAGCTTCTAGTTCTATCCCCGACGTTAGTAACGTGGTAATTTTGCTGGTGGATTTACCTCTTCTCCCACGCAGCTTTTTCCCAACTCCGTACGGGATCTGGACGCTGATCGCCCGTCAGATCTTCGTGTTTCATCTCTTGTAGAAATTCGATGAGGGGAACAAATCCAGAATTTCCGGAGCATTCCTTCTCGAAATTAATTAACACCCATGACTGCACCCCCAAAATGAACAGATCCAATACTAAACATGACTAAACCTGGGTTTCGATTGGGGGTCATAGTAGGAGACGAGAATTAAACAAGATATGGTTTCCCTCTAAACTGATCACAAAGAAATCCAATCTACCCTTTGGCAATCTATCCTCTATTTATTTCGATGGCATAGCATCCCACCACTGGCCTTTCGGGGACGGCGCTGGTCGTTCAGCTAGTTATCTAGTTATCTCTGATCAATGGAGAGAGAAAATCGATGTTTTTTTTTTCCATGATTTGTTGCATGTTTTTCCGATGAAATCCTCTGAGCTCAGCTCGGAAGGACAGTGTATGCTGGTGGATAAGCTGGATCTTCTTGAACCCCAGTGGCCTGGATTGGAAGGGATAATTTGGAGGAATGTGTGTGTGGTTCAATGGGATGGAAAACAATGAAAAATGGTGGTTTAATGGTATTTAATCAACAAACATGATGATTTCGATGGCATTTGTATATATCATGTGGATAAAACAATGCCAGTTTACCACCCATGACCACCTATAAAAATGATGATGACTGGGGGATGGTTTATGGCGTTGTTTCACCCACATTATTTTTCTTTCAAATGATAGTCATCCTGGAGTAGACATAAACATGTTCATGAAATGTATGGATATGTTCGACGTTTTTTTTTCTACTTCAGTGAGGACATGTTGGAACACTTTCCACCTTCTACTCCAGGATGGCAATGGCTATAGTATACAATCTGGTTGGTGGTTTGGACCATGAATTTTATTTTTCCATACATTGGGAAGAACAATCCCAATTGACTCTCATATTTTTCAGAGGGGTTGAAACCACCAACCAGCTGTAGATTTATACCATGAAATGATGGGCATCGTTCCCCGCTCAATCCATTTGTGTTCCAGGATCCATGGGATCTGAATGTACTTAGTCCGACCTGGGTTACTGTAGTGTTGGAATGGTCTAGCGACTCGAAAATGGGAGAGGTTTCCAGAAAGAATGTAGCTGGAACAGATTGTTGATCAGATGATGAAGTGTGGATGAGCGAGGATTTGCCATTGGGAACTAGCCGGCCATACATCCTTTCTTAGGCCAAACAAGTGCCGTCCATTGTGCAACTTGATGGGATTCGCGGTGAGGACAAGCACATTTCTTGTCGTAACGGGCCCCAAAATCCAATCTAGGCGCGGTTCCAAACATCTGAGACAGTTTGACTACCAGCTTTGTTTCGGTGAAACATGCTTAAACCCATCATGTTGTTTTTTTTGATCCAATGATGGGTGTTTCACAACTCCAACATGGGGTTTCCATGGGATGCGCTATTGCCGCTATTTGCGCCCAGCGCCCAGGTTCGTTGAATCCTTGGAGAAAAGGCAAGTTCGAAGCTCTGCCAGGATCTCTGAAGCTCACCCAGCTGGGGATAACTCATTTTTGGATGTTTTTTAGGAGTGGGAACAAGACTTGGAATATGTGGACTATAGATGACTGCATGTTAGGTTTAACAACTCCCAAGAAAGCAGTGATACAATATGACCAGAAAGACTGGAGGGATATAGCGATAACATAACATAAACTATTATATACTGTATATATTACCGTAGGATCTGCATGGATATGCAATGGCTGTTTGATGTGATTTGCAGATGTTTTTTTTGGTGTTACCCTCTGGTAAACTAACATAACTATGGAAAACCACCTTTTTCACAGGAAAATTCACTATTTCTATGGCCATGTTCAATAGCAAACGGTTAAATCATCCCATATATCATCCCATTATTCACCATTTATAGTGGTTAAATCACCATTTTATCCCAATATATCCCAATATATCATCCCAATATATAGGGATTTAAGCTTCATATCCAACGTGTTTGGCCACTCATCGCCATGGACGTTCCCCAACGTGGCGCAACGTGGCCGAGTTGGACGCTGAGCGTGCTGAGGACATGTCTTCGCAGGCTATGACTACTCCTGTGTGATTAGCAACACTGAGCACCTGGCCAAAAGCTGGGTAACTCCTTGTCACTTCCGGAACGGTGTGTGAGTGCAATGGGGATATACTGGGATATATGATGTATATATATATATATATTATAGGGAGTTATTATAGAATTATCATGTATTATAGCATTTTCTCTGGTTCGCTTTTGTTTAGTTATACCTTGTTCGCTGATACGGGTTCGTTTGGATGACCCATTTCTTGTGAGATCTGACCTGGGAATCTAAGCTGTCAACGAATTTTGGCTTGCCAGCAACTGCAGGTTTGTATGGTGTAAACCCTCCAAAAACTCCATGGTTATGTAATCATCATACTTCCTAGGCCCTAGCCAAATTGTATGTTTGGTATATCCCCCTTTTGAGACCCACCACTACCTTCTCTCAGATTCTGAGATTGGTCAATCACCGGTTTTCCCAGACCTGTTCAAATCATGTTCCACCGAAGTACATTTGTTTGGGTATCCCCACACCCTACTCGTACCACTACTCGTACCATTGAAATTCGCGAAACAAAATATGGGAAAGTCCTCTAGGAACGCTGGACTACCATGTCTAAGCTGATTCAAATCCCATCTTTGGTGTTCCATGTGGTATCATTTGGTATCCCATTATGGTGATAGTTGATTTTTGTTGCACACAAAATTTCTCAATAAAAATAAACTATCCCATAATATTCTCAATATTTCTATATCATTTGAAATCCCATATAATCATTGGGGAATTTCAGGATCCTAAAATGGAGGTACTGTACTAGTACCATATTTTTGGCCATATTTTGTGGGGATATTCCCTGAAATTAAGGCTTGAAAAATAGGCCTTATATATGGAATCGGTACCTCCAATAAATCGGTTCCTGAGATGGCCAGTGATATTGTAACCGCCAACAAATCATAAAAGAAGAACTTGGACACCTGGAAAATCCTGGAAACCATGGGGACATATGGGAACCAGATGATCAAACGACCGTCCCGGACCTGGTCCTCGAGTCTTCGGCATCTTCGGCGCTCGAGGCGGCTGTTTGCCGCTGGGAACAACGAAGGCGGCATGCTCCGAGAGGAGGCCGGTGGGATCGGAGGAGGAAGGAGGTGGATGGTTTCAAGTACTTATATTACTACGAATAGAAACCCAGAGTTGTTCGGTAGTTCATGGTAGTTCGGTAGTTGTGTTACTAGAAGGACATTGAACATATTGAACATCATCTAACTTGGCGTATTTGATTTTTTGCAATCGTCAGTATTTGCCCCGATGTGCGCGTGTGTTGGATCGCTTTGAAGTGTCATTTGGTTGCTGTGCAAAGGAACCTGAGTGCAAGGACTTGTAAAGACAGACAGCTCCATTTACCTGCATGAACTTTACCCTCTGATCAACTAACATGGCTAGGAAAGACAGCTATAAATACTTGCATGAACTTTATCCTCTGATTAACATGGCTATGGAAAATCGTCATTTTTAGTAGATACAAATGGGCAGATGTCCATTTTTATAGGGGTTTTGTTCCAAAAACTCCTCGGAGTTCATCCAGATGGTAGAAGGCCCTTCAACCACCAGCTGAAGTATTGATTGTTGACTTCCCGCATGTTGATTGGATAACATCCCAATCTGCATCTCATGTTGACATCGAACGATGCGGGATCATCCCATGTTCACCTTGTTTCAGCTTTGGCGAAATGTCTCATGTCACCAAGATATGATATGTGTTAATATAACGCTATAGAACGATAACGGTTTATAACGATATATTGATATATAATTCTGGTTGGTGGTTTGGAACCATGGAATTTTATGACTTTCCAGAAACAGTTGGGAAATATCATCATCCCAACTGACGAAGTCATGTTTTTCAGAGGGGTAGGTATACCACCAACCAGATCATGTGCTGTACCAACACAACAACACTATATATATATATATATACATATCTATACTCTATATATATATATATATATATAAACCCCGTTGGTAGCTCCCAGCTGAGATCTAGGAGCTCCAGCCCCTGGGGTGCATGGCTATTTTTTTTTAGCCGTAAAAATGACGATAGGTCCCTTGATTTTATCTGCAGACATGCTAGATTTTATCTCGATCACAAGCGTGAGATAAATTCTAAGAGGCTGGACCCCCCGAGGTCCCCTACGAATGCTAGACTTGGGCCCCTAGATTTTATCCATTCAGAAATGCTCAAAAGGGGTATGGGGGGGTCAGGCCCCTCTGGAAAACAGCCACTGGGGTCTACTATTTCAGGGGCTGGACCCCCCCTAGGAACAACCAACCCCGTTTATATATATATATATATAGATTGATATTATCATGAATAACGTGATGTACAATTGTAGTAATCCCACATGATATCCCTGCCAGATCCCACATCAAGAAACTCCAAGCCCCTGCGTCCAGGACGAAGTCTCCCAAGCCCCGGGCCTTCCGCAGCCGGCATCCTTTGTCGAGTTTGGGGCCAAGCTGGAACTCACATGCGGAAGTTTGGTGGAAATAGATGGGGGGTTCGATCAATGGGGATACCCCAACCCATAGGATCCATGTATGGTATATATGCTAACATTTGGGGTATATTGATGGTAAATGTTACTATATATAGCATACATGGATCCTATGGGCAATAGCTGGATTTTTTTTTGTGGAAAATCCATGAAATGGATGATTTGGAGGGACCTCCAGATGGGGATATGATATCATCATCCTGGATATGCTGAAGATTGTGTGAACTTTCTGATGGGAAATCTGCTAGGAATCTACAGCAAATCCAAGTCAAAGAAAAACGAGTGACCAGCAATATGAAGATTTTCATGGCGATTGCCCTCTGGTAAATTCACATAGACCCTTAAAGTCACCCATTTTTAGTGGAAACTAATCTTCCAACCCCTGTCTGCCAGGGTCTATGTTAATTTACAGGAGGGTTTTACTATCAGGAAATTGGTAAGATAGTACTGCAAGATTTCCTATTTCATGTCACTAAACTACATTGTATTCCAATCTCAGGTCATATCCTCCCAAGACAGGACGGCCCCAAGGGCCTCGGAGGTCATTTGTTTTTTCTTGCGCAAGAATAAAGTGAAAAGACGTGAGGTAATCAAACCTGGCTGGAAAATCGCCAATATGTACACACATATTATACATGCTACCCTCTGGTAATTTAACGTAGCTATGGAAAATCACCATTTTTAATGGGAAAACTCACTATAAATGGCCATTTTCAATAGCTATGTTAAATTACCAGAGGGTAATTGTTGTATTAATGAAAAGAACATTGAACTACATGGTGCATTTTCCAGCAAACCACGTTTGATTACTGAAGGGTAAATCCATCAGCATCGCTCTTGGTGCTCTTGACTCTCCCATGATTATCCCACTTATCCCTATTAAACCAAAATGAAAACATCTTAAACCATATTAAACCATATTAGACCATATTAAACCATATCCCTCTTGACTCCCAAATAAAACCATTTCAAACCCTTGTCTTATTACTTGGTTCTAACCTTTGACGTTTCTTGGCGGAGACAATTTGATACCCAACTTCATCCGATTTGGCTTCGACTGAACGTAGGATGCCCAAACACATCTTCAGGTTCCACACCCTATAAGATCATATTAAGTTGGTTCTGTATCCCACTACATCCCCGCAAAATCTCACTATGTATACAAATTGTATATATAATTATATATATATATACATGTAATTATATATACATAGATATCTTGGATTTCCACCAGTCCTTGCTCGCAGTGGTTCTGATATAGATCCCATGTGCGCAGCGATTTTTATCAATATTGTAGCCTTATTGTTTTTTTTTAAAATCGTTATCCTGAAATCATACCTGTGACATGTCTTCCAATGTTACCTCGCCGTGTTCTAATGAAAAGAAAAAGATTCACATGGTTTTCAATCTTTGAGAAGTATTTGCTGCGATGGTGTGATGTTTTGGTTCTTGTGTAAATTTAGAATCCTTTGGCTTAAGAGTTTTAGCTGATCAATGCAAGAGCAAAATACATTCGATATGAAATTGAAACTGGACGACAAAAGTTGCCGCCGAATTGTCTGCATTTGATGAATGAACTTTTCGGAATTAGAATTTCCTGCTTTGTGAGCCCATACAGAGCCATGGCTTTTCTGTTTTTGTCTCCTCGCAGTGGCCGGGCGAGGGTCAATGCTGTTTCGAGAAGCGGGGATCCAATGACCCGCAAATTTTTTCTACCCGAAGAACCTTGGGTTGTTGCTCTTGCTCGCAAGCATGGCTTGCAGCATGTTTTGGAGGATCAGCGGGAACGCAAGCGCTTGACAGGTTGCAGCGGAGACAAATGTGGTGCCAATAAAGAATTTTCAGGGATTTCTCAAATCCTGTGCCTAGTCTCCGTATCGCCTGGGAAACTTGCACATGGAATTTTGACGGATTGGACAGCGGAGGAAGAATATTTCCGCAAAGGCTTGTTTGAATCGCTTGAGAAATCATCATCGCATTCAACTTTGTCGTTGTATGTCAATAAGGTTCTTGCTTTTCCGAAGCCCATTTTGTCCCATTCCCCTCAAAGGTTTCATGCTGATTTGTGGGAGCCAGAGAAATTTGATTTGGAACAAATTATCATGTGGAGCGGGAAGACCCGCGAGGAGCTGGAAGCTCATTTCGGAAAACCATCTCAGGACATCAGCGACTTTTTGAAAAAACCTGCGGCTCTTCGGGTGCCAGTATTGGTGTGTCATTTGATTGCAAAATGCGCATGGAAAGCACTCATTTTGGATGGGTGTCATTTTGGGAAAAGAGGTGCGCAACAGTCCATCCATGTCGGGCTTCAGGAAAGATTGGGCGGGTTTCCTCCATCCCAGTGGGTCAAAGAGGCTCTAGCAAGTGAAAAGCGGAAACGCACACCGGAGGATGCCATGGAGCTGAGATTTCGGCCTATTGACGCCCAGCAAGTTGTAAGTTTATTGCGATCTTGGAGTGGCCAAATTCTGTCGCAAGCAGCAGATGAGACACGCCAAGAGCTGCAGCTGATGTTGGAGGAGAAGGTGATGCGGCTAGATACCTTTGCTGGAAACAACAAACGCCCAACTAGATCAGAATTTGGTCCAGAACAATTGCTGCATGCGCTGTGCGCTGCCATGGGTGTCCGAGACAGGTCTAAATTAGCGGATACTTTCCGCCACCTTTTGAAATGTCGAAGCCAGCAGAGTATGTTGCCTGGTGATGGCGATGACCCAGGAATACCGTCCTCTGCGGTGATCAGCCGCTCACAAATTCGTATTGATGGTGCGCTGTGTGGGTACTGGAAGGAAAAAATAACATCCTGGATGGAGAACACACATGCGGCCCTTGTGCATGGACCTAGTCCTTCTCAGGTCTGTTTTTTTTTGTGGGCGGATTCTTCTCCGCAAGCAGGAACAGATTGGCTGCTGAGCCAACTGCGGATCATTCCGCCAGGCAAGCTCCCTCTGTGCGTGGCTGCTGCTCAAATGCTACAGAACTCTGCTCGTGCCCTTGTTTCAATGGCGCAGGAGCAATCGTCAGAATTAGACACTGTGGCAGGGAATCATAGTTGCAAAGAAGATGCACTGAAAGATTCATTCCATCATTTGGTACAGGAGAGGCACGAAGCGGGCGTCGCCTTGCAAGACACAATGATAAAGCATTCCCAAATACCAATCGGCTTGGGAAGTGGTCCTCAAGCGTCTAGCCTGGAACAAAAATTGATTTGCATATGCAAGAAATTTTTCGCGGAAACGCATAGCAAGAATTTGGCCCAGCGGGTGATGCACCGCGTGCTAGGCATATGCACAGACATGGGGACGGAAATGGGCTTCGCCCAGCTGGAAGAAGGCTTTGCATGGAAACAGGTCTTGCCAGAGTACATGCAGGACAGTGGCTTGCAAACAGAAGAAGATGTGCTGGCACAATGTTTTGCCGACCAGGCAGGCACAGAGAGCAATTTTCTCTTTGGAAACGCGCTCCCTTGTCCAGGAATGCTGCACATATGTCACAATATGTGTTTGGATTTGCAATCAGGCCTTCCAGGCTATGGGCAATGGTTGGTTGGTTTCAAAGCCATTGCAGCTTTACTCCATAGCAAGCATTTGCGCAACCAATACATTGGCAAGCTGCTGCTGAACACCCCTTGGGAATATTTTCGAAGCCTCTTAGAGGTAGCAGTTGAAAAACCCGCCCTTTGGAGATGGGGTACCGTTCAAAAGGTTCTACCTTTGCTGTTGGAAAGAAAGCGCATGTTGCAAATCACATGGGACGCTGACAAGTTTGGCAAGGAAGAAGGACAGCCAGATGCACATGGTTCAGTACCAGCGGACAGGCCCAGAGCGCAGCCAGACGAGGAAGCGGATCTACAGATCCCTGCGTTGACATCCGCCATACAATCTGAAGCTTGGTGGCTCTACACTTCCATGCTGCTGGCGCTGAATCGATTTCCAGCGGATTTGGCCGCCTGGTCCGAGGGCTGCTCCTGTCACCCGTGGCTACGGTACAAAAGCACACGACCATCAAAGTCAAAACCACCAAGACATGACCCCGACAAGAACATTGAGATACAGGCTGGGGAAATCTTGGACGCACTTCGAAGAGAGATTGGTTTGAAAGCTGGCTCGGGGGACGGCGGCATGAGTTTTGGTCCATGCCCTTTAGCTGGACAAAGGTCCATGGATCTGGCCAGTGGGGCGGTGTGGAAGCTGTTGGACGCATGGTCAGAGGAGTATATTCAGGATTTATTGCAAAATAATGAATGTAGAGATGAAGCGGAAGTTAGTTCCGCTTTGACGGAATTTTCAAATGGGAAGGCGTTCATTGTTGCTTACCTGCGGCAGAAATTGCAATGCTGGGAAACCTTTCCCTGGAAATTGGCCGCATTGAATTGCACAGGCCCAATAGCTCGGCAAACCGCTCAAGATGCCATCCTTCATTTTGACCAATTGGCAGACAAGGTGGCAAACCAAGCAGCTGACTTGCATGTCCTGCACCACAGATTGACAATGAAGTTTTTCATGAAAGAGACACAGGGGAGACAAGAGTTAGAAGCCTTTATCCATGGCACGCCTTTGGGCGACCTTCCAAATTTGCGTGACATGGTCTACGGCTTACGGTTTCTTCCTGTCGTGGAACGCGTTCAAGAAGCGGAGCACGCAATCACGAAAAAACATACTGTGCACCGAGGAAAACTGTCTGCCCCATTCATTAGCTGCAGGCTCCGCATTGCAGAGATCCGGTCGATTCTTGAGGATTCAGCAGAGCTTCCGAGGTTGTTGGCTCAGTTCGAAGCATTTGCCACTTCTCCAGATCTCTTTGCCAAAAAAAGCGGGCTAGGGAATCATGTCCTGTGGCAGGAAGCGGAAAGCCGCAAATTCGAGGTGAGACTGAAGTGGCATGTCCTCGCATCAATTCTATATTCCATGGATCCAGAATCTCAATATACAAAGACCAAAGCAATTCGCAAAGACAGACAGACCAAGAAAGCAAAAAAGGAGCAGCGGGTGAAAGCCGCAATGAAGAAGCTTGGCTGGACACCGGGGAATCAGACATGGTCGCTCGATAACATGGAGCGGCACGCAATGGCACATCATTTGCAAAGCAGGCTCATCCGGGGAAGCTTATATAGTTTGTCACACGTAGCTTTGCGCATCAGTGGTTTGAAGGAGTCTCTCGAGCGGCGCCCTAGCTTTGGGCAAGCTTCTGGCCAGCTTCTGCTTCCGCCCGCCGGGGCCAGTGCCGGTGCTGTGCAGAACCCAGCAGCATTGGTATTGGAAGCAGAGCCTGACATCATGATGCTATCTGCAAATACTGTGCACACAGATGCGGAAGCACTTCAATCTATTGTTGCTCCCCCACCTCCGATTGATCACGGCTTCACACTCGAGAATGTTGTGTTTCTGCGGCTTGTGCATAGCCGCATTGCTCATCTGAAAGGCGTTGCTTTGCCAGCGGCGGAAGCCCAGCGGCTGCAACCAACCGACATTTGCGTCACGCTCCATAGAGGCGCGGTGTTGACATCTGAGGGCGGCGAACGCCGTTTGTGTGTCAGTGTGGACCCTGAAGCTGCTTGTGGCCTTTCGCACGAAGTCAGCGTGCTGTCTCTTTGTTCAGGGTCTTTTGCGGACGGACAGCCTGCCCAAGATTTGAACGGTTTGAAGGAGTCTATGAGACATTGGAGCCATGATTCGGAGCTGCTTTTCGTTTTGGAAAACGCGGACATTTCCGCAGAGGCTTCTGCGTTGCTAAAAGCATTTGTTCTTCAACACGCTTTCCCGCAGTGCTCGCAGCAGCAATGCGTGCAAGTGGAAGACATGGACGACGAAAAACAACGAGCCTTGTGGGAATTGCAGGCCGCAAAAGCGATTGAAAAACGGGCAAGGACTCCTCACGCATCTCTTTGGTCTTTGACCCGCCAAGGTGCCCTCCATTTGCAACATATGCACGCATTGAAAAAGCAGCAGAGAGTATTTAAGCCAGCGGATGAGCTTGCCGCATTGCCACTGCAAGACTTACAGGAATGTAGCAGCTGGGAATTGTTGCAAATATTGCAACGCAGGGGTTGGAATTTGCAGCGGGGACCAAAAGAAAAGGGCAAGAAGAGGTCTTTACCGCCAGTGACTGCAAAGTCCATGCACAAGGTCTTCTATATGTATACAGTACATATTCAGAGCAAAGACAACGTAGCTTATCTGAACGCTTTGTGCGCTTCTGATTCTCTTTTTGATCAAGGATGCTTGACAGAAATTCACCATGGCCAGACCGCCAAATATTATTTGAGCATTTGTGACGGTACCAGTGATGGACGGCTTGCGGAAGAGCATTCTGCACCTATGCAAATTCAAGATGGAAAGCGCCAGCCCGCGCATTTGCAATTAGAATTGGATGTGGAGCCACCATTGTTTTTCAACCAGCAGAAGCAGAAGCAAATCGCAGACACAGATCCAATGGACATGGTGGCAGGTCCAGGGAAGACTCCTGAGCCTGCAGACTTCTCTTTTTCCGACCTCGATTCCATAGACAGCATGTCTTTTGTGACTGAAGATGTTTCTGACAGCGGAGGCGCAAGTGAAATAGGAGAGCATGCAGCTGCGCCATCTTTGGCCTATAGCCCTAGCATTGCTCCCACTGCAGCCTCCGCGTCTCCACCGAAAGCCATACCTTCAGAAATCGAGAATGATGTAGAACCATGCCTGCCCAAGCCTGTGGAATCTAATGCAGGAGCTGCTTTGCAATCAGAGGTTGATGTTCCCCGAGCTGATGCGGAGGAAGTAGCCCCGCCACCTGCCCCGCCGCCGCCACCTGCAGACACATCTGCTTCCGCGGATGTTATGGAAAAGAAGTCAAGCCGCCAGAAGCAGACAGTACCAGAAACGCACCCGGATTCATTTGATTGGGGACCATTCCGGTTCACATTCACAGGTCGTGACAAACGGCCTCCGCATGGCCAATGGCAGGCTACTTGTCCGTTTCATCGTCTAAGCGACCGAACCGGGTGCACCCGTGCAATGATGGCAGGGCCAACAGAGCAATCCAAACAAGAAGCAAAGCGAAAGCTTCAGACATGGTGTCTTTTGGCCCCCCATCATGACCGCAAGCGGCACCACACGTCCGCATATATAAAATCCTCTGATGTTTTGCCAGAAGGACTCTTGGACATAAGATTGTCAGCATTAAAGCTGCCCACTGGAAAAGCACCAACAGACCAAGAACTAGATGCAGCGGAGACGCTCGATGCCAAGAACAAAGCCCAGCCACGGGCCAAGGCAAAAGCGAAAGGCAAAGCAAAAGCCCAGGCAGCAAAGGTTGTTTGCAAGCGAGCTGCGGGAAAGAAGCGGAAAGCGCATGATCTGTCAGACGAGGTTCCGCAAGAAGTGGCAAACGCAAACAGCAGCGGCAAAGCATCCGCGTCTGGCTCAAGCAAACCAGATGCTTCATCTCAGTCTTCGCATGGAAGCAGTAGCTCCAGCAGCGATAGCAATAGCAAGAGTGGAAGCAGTTCCAGTAGTGCGTCCAGACATAGCCATAGATCTAGTGTCGCATCTGACTCGGACTGATGTTTTTTCTCTTCCACGCAATTGTTCCACCATTGTAGCAAGAAGAATTCAGCAAAAGAATGCTAATAGCTTGGCATTGTCACCTGTCTTCTGCTCAATGTTTATGTTTTAAAACAAGCATCAGTCGCAGATTCGGAGCTTTGATCTTTCTTGAAGCAGGTGCTGTGCGCACAGATTGCGGGAAATGAGCTGACAAAAGGGGAAGTGCATTGTTAAGGTAGCTTTGCAATGCAGGCAGCAGCAGATTTTCAAGGCTCGAAGGATTCCAAGTTGGAAAAAAATCCCAGGCTTTCGATTCCAGCACTGGTCCGGCTTGCTGCAGTTTCTTTTTCCCTTTTTCTACATGGAAGGGAATTGTAGACAAACTTGATTTTTCTTTGAACATTCATGCATGGAGCGCAGCATTGACGTGCGCAAGGTTCAGTTAACCATTCAACCATAGCGAAAGCAACAACTCAACAATTTTAACGCTGCAAGGGCATTGGACTATTTTCTTGTTTCGCCATGGGTCTAGGCTCAAGGAGCCACTACTGTGGCCAAAGGCATACGCGCATAGGCAAATACACGAATCTACTTTACCTATAGCATGATAATACCATGGGAGCAGATAGAACACAATTAAACAATCTACTTAACCATCCCTGTACCAGATAAATTTCATAGGGTTTATGAGCAGAAGTAACCCCATTTGTTTTTAATAATGACAACCTCATTTCACATGTATCAACAACCGCCATTCTAAATATTCTGGCCTGCTGACCTGATAGTGTAGTTTGCTTCCTCGCCATTGGCTTCGCTTTCGGAAGCCCAGCATGTCATGGTCTGCCGGGTATTGGGGATGGAATAGCAGCGGGCAGCACCGCCAAGATTCAGGGTATTGGCACGAAGATGAGGAAAGGGGTTGGAACAGCAGCGGCCAGCACCGCGACGATGCAGGCTACTCTCGAGATGGGGGCTGGAATCGTAGCGGCGAGCGCCGCGAAGAAGATTCTTGGTGGGAGAGCGCAAATAGTAGCGGACAGTGGCCGCAGTGGAGCTCACAAGACCAGGAGCATCATGGATCTTGGGGACACGAATGGAACAGCAACACCAGCGGTTGGGAACGCGGCAGCCCCAGAGCTTCTCGCGGATGGGAGCACAATAACTATGACAGCAGATCCTCCAGCAGGCAGGAGGAGCCCAATGAAGCCAGCGGCTTGTACCGCAAAAACCGTGATCCTTCAAGCAGCCAGGATCGCAGTGAAAGCGCTGATAGCCGTTGGACTCGCAGGTCCAGGAGAGAGGCCAACCAAACGGAAAGATGTTCCCGCAGCCGTTCTCCGTCTTCAGCGCCTAATACGGCAAGGCCAGCAGCAGAAGCAAGTGCAGCGGACGCATCCGTGGCAGCGGAGGCATCTCCGCCAGAAGCCGCAGAACCTAATGCGTGGCGAAAAGGGTGGGTTTGGAATACTCGCAAAGACTTCAAAGGATGGAAGCACCTAGCGGGAAACCGCGATGAGAGGCGTTCAGCTCCCGCAAAAGCTCGCCGTGCCGAGAAGCGGGCTGGGCGGGCCGCACGCGGCAACGAGGAGAGCTATGCTCAGCATAGCGAAGACTGGGGAAATTGGAGGGGGGACTGGCCCGCGGAGGAGGCTTGGCGTGAATGGCAAGAGGACGCAGCGCAGAACCTCGAGCGAGTGGAGGAAGCAGAGGAAGAAGACGATGCCAGGAGCTATGCTTCGGCACGATCCGGCTCGTCCTATAGCTACTCCTCCTCGGACTCTTCCTCAGGGGGTGAGGATAGGACCGGAGCGGCGGCCAAGAAAACTGTGCCGCAGCAGTCCGCTGCCAGAAGCACTGAGAAGACAAGCGGCGGGACAACCGCAGATGCTGCACCGCACGGTGCCTGCGATGAAGTCAAATCGGAAGCGGACACATTGTCCGCATTGAGAGCCCAGGTGGTCTCTGCAATCGAAAGGAATGATGGAGCGGACTTCCAAGCGGCGCTGGCTGCAAACCCGAAACAAGTTCATACAGAGGCAGCGGCATCGGGAGCCGCAGAGGCAACAAGCCCTACAATGGTGGCATCGCCATCTCCGCACAGTGCACAGGAAGATTTAAGCCCAACCTCACCAGCAGCAGCGGAGACAGCGCCGCCACCAGAGCGGCAGACACCGCAGGAAGAACGGCCACGGCCAGTTGGATTCATCCGTGTTTTTGCGGATGGATCTTTCGATCTAGTGACTCCCGAGAACCCGGATGTGCCGCTGCCTCTGCAACAAACAGACATGAACCGTTGCCTATGCATAGTGAAAAGCGCGGCGTATGAGTTAGCGCGAGATGATGTTCCTCGCGTGGAAAGCACAGCGGGGCCAACCCCCGCCGACAGCAGCGGCGAAGCCCAGCCGCCAATGGAAAGCACAGCGGCGGCAACCCCTGTCGTCAGCAGCGGCGAAGGTACCACCGAGCCGCAAGTGGAATGCATTGGGGCGACAGAGTCCGCCGCCGCCACTGGCGCAACCAACGCGGAGACGCCAAATCCAGCGGACGATTCCGCCCAAGCCAGCCAAGCACTAGCGGCTGACACAGCGGGAGATGCTCCTGCAACAGCTGCAAGCGCGCCCATGGAAGATGCTGCAGGCAATGCGGAGGCAAACTCCGCGGTGACAGGAATGTCGACAGCGGCCAATGCCGCAGCATCGGAGCTCCAGAGCGGTTCCGCACGCGGACGTTCTAGGAAGCGAAGGAAGCGGCAACGCCATAAGCGGCCAAAGAGCCCACGAGCGTAGACCTGTGCCTTGACATGCTGCAAAAAGTCGCTTCTCTGGCTTTCACACATTTGCTGCACTTCTCCATCTTTATGGTCTCTTATATCATTGCATTTAGTTCTTAAACGTTTTTTTTAATATCCGGTTGCAATGCGTTTTCTCCACTTACGCGTATCTTTTCTTTCTCTGCTAAGTTTCTGTATTTTGATGTATTTTGTCATGGTTGCAAAACATATCTTCCACTTGTCCCTAGTCTTTGCTTCTATATCATTTCAGTCCTTTCAGCAGTGTGTTTTTTATTTTGGGGTTGCAGGTTGCATGAACTTTTTTCTTTCTGTCCTTATTTTTTGTTTTTGTATCGTTTTTTATTCAATTTACCTCGTTATGCAATCGCTTTGTTCGTTCCTTTCTTTTCCATCGCCAACATGCTGAACTATGTGGATTTTGCAAGGCGTCCTTTGGTTTTTGCAGATTTTCATTCAAAACCCACGTAAACCTTATATGCCAGAGGCCACGTCCAATATCCAGCATAGACCCACTAGATAGACAGTCAAGAGACAGCAGTCCCAACATTGTCCTGCGCGGTCTTGGGCAGGCACGGTTCGGGCCTTAGTCTTGCTTGGGTCAGGCACAGGTCGGGACAGGTCGGGCACGGGTCGGGCCGGGTCGGGCGCGGGTCGGGCCGGGTCGGGCGCGGGTCGGGCCGGGTCGGGCGCGGGTCGGGCCGGGTCGGGCGTGGGTCGGGACGGGTCGGGACGGGTCGGGCATGGGTCGGGCTGGGTCGGGCGTGTTTCCGGCTGGGACAGGTTATCTGGGGCAGGGTCGGACATTAGCTTTGTCATGCATCCCGCGTCTTTGTCATAAAACCAAGCCACTTTGAGGCTCCTGGCCTTTGTTCAGGCAGTCGTTTTCTCTTTTGCCGAAGGGTTTTCGATTGAACTCACTTGGCATCAGCATGTTTTTATCAAAAACATTGCTGCAACGATGTTTTCGAAGCCTTTTCAAGGAATTCTCAATAATTTTCACGTCGAAAGCTCAATCCACTGACATCTAAGGACACTCAGCTGGAAACGCAATTTCTTCATAGAAATCATCGACTTTGGCATTGAATTTTCCTTAAGTACAGGTGTTTTGTGTTTAGCACGTGAGAAGCTCCCAAGCCATGCCGAAACGCCCTGCAAAGCGACGCCGGCAGCAGCCGCTGCCTTCTGCAAATGCCACATTAACGTCAGCGGCTAGGAATGGACCGCGAGACATGAAGGAAAGGGACATGTGGCCAGAGCAAGTGATCGCAGATCTCGACTGCAAAGGCCTTTGGGAAAATATTTCAAGAAGCTTACAGCAAGGTTGGGTCCTGACAACTGACTATAGCGGGATAGGTACTGCAGAAGAAGCAGCGAGATGCCTTAGCATAGCCGCAGCTTGCAAAGCTCATGGCGAAGGAAGGGTTCAGTATGCAGCCCGTGTGCTGTGCCAGAGGGCTGGAGACAAAGAAGCGGATTGCCGCCAAATGCTCCTGGAGCGAAATCATGCTTTGACGCATGGGCCTGTGTGCGTCCATGGGGATATCGGAGAGCGGTGCGATCGCAAAAGATGGGAAAATTTGCATCGGAGTCTTCAGCGCTTGCAAGCCTCAGAAGTGTTGAGGCTAGACACAGATCCAGCGAATTTCGCGAAGGATTGTTTTGGCCAGGTCATGAAGCAAGATCTCGTCGGAGTAGCGGCACATTGCTTTCGACACGGCAAGATGTGCTCCGTAAGCAGAACCAGGAGCGGCACAGATGCCGCAGAATCCGATAAAGATGCTTTGAATCTGCACGTAGCGGGATTCAACTGCTTTGACTGGTCACTTATGGGAGGTCGGAAAGGCTGGTTTGGACTGAGCACGCCTGCATTTATGCAATGGTTAGCAGAGCGAATGCAGTTTGACGAAGATGATTGCATTTTGTGCGAAAACACGCCTGCCTTTGATTTAAAGACGCTAGCGGAACTCACCGCTGAGAAGTGGCACATGCAAGTGATCCGCGTTTCTCCGACACTATTTGGACTTCCTGTTGAGCGGAAACGCATTTATATTCTGTTGCTACGCAAAGGCAAATGGCGATTCCAAGGCCTTGTTGCAAGTGCAAGCAGCCAGAAGCAAGCAGATGATGAAACCAATTTTTTCTTGCTGCAGGAGCAATTTGATTCCATCTTTCAGCGCAACATCGTGATGACAGCGGGAAGTCAATTCCGAGCTCCGGAAACATGCAAACAACAGCATGTCGAGGTTCTTGCGGAAGCGCAGAAACTGCCTCCCACCACCGCGTCTGGCAAGCACTGGAATTGTTATCAAGCAGTTTCTGCCGCAGTGCGGTGCAAAATAAATGAACACAAGCAAGCATTGCTTGAAAAGAGTGGCGAGACCTTGGAAGACATGACAGAGCGGGAACGCCACCAATGGACTGCGGACTTATGTCAGCATCCCCAATACATGGGGCCTTCATGTGGCCACGTTCCAGCCTTGCTCCAACGAACCAACTTGTGGCTTTTTGGGCAGCGGCGACTTGCGCTGCCGAGTGAACACTTGGAATGTCAGGGGTGGAACCTTTTTGGTGACCCTGCTTGTTTGTACAAATCTCCAATCACGCCTGAGCAGCTTCAAAACATGAAGCCTGCACGGGTCAAAAGCTTTGCCGGGAACGGCATGCATCTGCAGGTCCTAGCGAGTGTTCTCGCATTTACATTTGGGATAATGGAGGCAGAAGTTTGACCCTGCCGCAACCAGCTTTGACCCTGATTTTGGAAAAAGCTTATGCGTTCAGCCGGCAATTCTTGCTGCTAGTACCATTGGTGGTAATGGCAAAGATGGCATCAAAGAATGATAATGTTAAGTTTGTTGACTTTTAAATAAAAAAAGGTCGCAACTATTCATATAAACAAGAATAACGGTACTTCAACTGATAAGAATATCATTGCTAGTGTTGCTAGTACTACTACTAAGAGTATATTAGAAAAAAAATGTAGTAGTAGTAGTAGTAGTAGGAGTAGTAGTAGTAGTAGTAGTAGCAGTAGTAGTACTAGTCGCCGCGGTAACCGCGGTCCCCGCGGTAACCGCGGTCGCCGCGGTCGCCGCGGCCAAGTAGTAGTACGAGTAGTAGTAGTAGAAGTAGTAGTAGTAGTAGTAGAGTAGCAGTAGTAGTAGTAGTAGTAGTAGTAGTAGTAGTATCAGTAGTAGTCGTAGTAACAGTAGTAGTACAAGTCGCCGCGGTAACCGCGGTCGCCGCGGTAACCGCGGTCGCCGCGGCCAAGTAGTAGTAGGAGTAGTAGTACTAGAAGTAGTAGTAGTAGGAGTAGTAGTAGTATTAGTAGTAGTAGTAGTAGTAGTAGTACAAGTCGCCGCGGTAACCGCGGTCGCCGCGGTAACCGCGGTCGCCGCGGTCGCCGCGGCCAAGTAGTAGTAGGAGTAGTAGTAGTAGAAGTAGTAGTAGTAGTAGCAGTAGTAGTAGTAGTAGTAGCAAGTCGCCGCGGTAACCGCGGTCGGCGCGGTAACCGCGGTCGCCGCGGTAACCGCGGTCGCCGCGGTAACCGCGGTCGCCGCGGTCGCCGCGGCCAAGTAGTAGTAGGAGTAGGTAGTAGAAGTAGAAGAAGTAGTAGTAGTAGTAGTAGTAGTAGCGTTTTGGCTATGAGCTTTTGGCTCAAAAGATGCTCTTGTAACAATTTTACTCACATGGCCAACACAGGTGCTGGACTGGTCAGGAAAAAAGTACAAAGATTCTTGTTCTCAAGACATTCAATCATTGGAATCATTCGGCAGAAAGCATAGAATGTAACGCAATTCTCACATCATTCGAATCATGCCTTAGTTGCCCAGCAACGCCTGCACAGCATGAAAGGAAAAGAGGCAAAATGTGCTGTCAATGTTGCTCCTATGAAAGAAAGAAAAAGAAAGAACAGCACATCGGGAGCAGAAACATGCCGGCAGCAGAAAAGGATCGCAATGCCTTTTAGCAAATATGAGCGGCTTACCATGAGCGTCGCTGATGCTGAGTCCCAAAGAAACGAAAAGCTGTTGGCGATAGCGGCGCAGAAACCTTCTTTGCGTCAACATATCATCTGCGGCGCAGATGCCGCTTTGTGGCGGGAGCGGTCTAACATGAGATCCGCTGATGCGGAGGCCTACCAGCATGAACGCAAACTCATGGCATGCACAGTGCGAAATATGGACAGTGATGCCAAGACTTTGGCCAAGCAATTGCAATGGCACGAAACATTACGGGATACAACGCAATCCCTTTCTCGCGCAAACTTGCTGCGGCACCAAGGGTTGCCTAGCTGGATCATCCTTGAGGGGATGAAGATCGGAGAAGCGGTCCAGGATCGCCAAATTCCAGCAGTCCGCACCGCTGACGCCATTAGGACACAGCAGGCAAAAGGTAACAAGGCATCCGCTGCAGGATCTGTGGCCACCTCCAGCACACAGAGCGGACATGCGCAGAATGCAAAGGAAGCGGTCTGTGGATCGCAATAGCTTGCGAATGTTTTTTCAGGTCTGCCGCTGTCTGACGCAGCAGGCCAGGGCGAGGTGACGTCGCTTGAAACATAGCGCACCATTCAAGCAAATCAGTGGAGGAAAAAAAACGCAGCTGGCGTGAAGGGGTTTCCGTGTTAGATTTTCGTTGCATATGGAGTACATACTTAAATCGTCAACATATCACTCCGTTGATTTTGGCAATTTTATTGAAACATGCTTCCATGTGCAGACTTGCTCATACGCACCTTTCATACCTCTGGCTATATGCACTGTTCATCATTAAGTCAACATTGCACTGCATGCATGGCAGCTCCTTTTTTACTCAATTCCATCGTCGCTCTTTCCACCATCGCTTGCCGACCTCCTTCATCACACGACGCGATGGCCATGAGAATGGACATGGGCTGCAGCGGGGCGCCGCATGGCGCTGGACCTACTGGACCGTGCACCCTCTTCTGTGCTGTCTTCCATTGGCTGCATCGTGGCAGCGGAAGACACCGCGAGTTCTTGTTCTTGACAGAAGACGGAACGGTGGCCTTCAAGCGGGTCACGAAAAATAAGCACACCGCAGTATCTCCAGCGCATGGCGTATGGAAACTCTCGCGCGCTGGCAATGGTTTGCGCTTGGATATCCAGCGGTTCCACTGCACAGGTTGGCGAGAGTACTTGAGGGACCATACCTTTGTGCAGGTGGGACCTCCACATCCGTTTCGCATGAAGGATGTGGAGGACCGACGCGATATTACATTTGTCGGTTTGTTTTGGATCGACTTGCACAAGACCCTCCCTGCTCCACCGCAGCGGGCACTTCCGCTTCCGCGGCCAGCAGAGTGGTTGGCTCCGCCAGCGGAGGCGCAGCCGCCACCGGAGGCGCAGCCGCCAGCGGAGACGCTAGCAGTGGCTGTGCCCCTGGCAGCGGATCTCCGCCCTGAAGAATGGGAATGGGAAGTGTTGGAAGCTGCAGCCCGTGACGAGGAATTAGCCCAACATCTGATGGAAGAAGAAGGTTGGGTTCTAGCGGAGCCGTCCGCCCCTTTTATCCCAGGCGTTTACCAATAGGTAAACACATCCCACAGCAAAGCTGTGAGATCTTTCGGACATTCTTGTCTGCTGGAATCGTATCGCCGTGTGTGATACTTTACTAGGAAAATCATTAAAAATTCCAAACAGGAATTCGCAGCGCAGCAAAATGGCCGGAAATCTTTTATTTTCAAAGAAAGTTCAAATGTATGTCACGAAATCCGCAAGTGTGTACTTCCCACACAATCTGGGGTATGATTTTCTGAGCTGGGTGTGCCGTTTTTTTCTTGTGTCAGCTTCAAAAATGTGTTCTGTAGCATGCCAGATCAAGAGTAGAGGCAACATAACCGACCAAAACAAATCGAAATCTCTTTTGTTTTTTGATAGGAGAAGAAGCAGTGCTTTTGGTGTTTGTCAGTTGATGCCTAAAAACCTCTTGGCTACTCGCACTTTCAAATTTTGACAGCAATCTATAAAGCTCCTGTGCAGCGCCGTGGCCCTGGCCAACATGGACGTGCCTCTGGAGCCTTCTTCGGGGATGCTCTCTTTGCATTTGGAAGCAGAGGGGGGCACTGAAGGGAAAAGTCTTTTTTTTGCCGAGCCAAGCCACAGCGGCCAGAAGAGCGGTGATGCCGCGTCAATTTCCGACGACGACGACGATGCACATGAAAAAAAGAAGAAAAACAAAAAACGAAGAAGGGCTGAGAGAGCAGCAGCGGAAGCCGCCAAAAAAAAAGAACAAACAGAGGAAAAGTTTAAAAAATGCACAAGTTATTGCGGAAGACGCAAGGCCTTGTCTGACTTCAATGCTGACCAAAACTCTTGCAAAGATTGTGTATTGCACCAAAAAGCATTTTGGCGCCAGGCCAAAAGCCAGGGATGTGAGAAAGACATGAAAGATCTGGTAAAAAGCGATCCGAAAATGGCATTGGATGTGCAGAAAGAATTTGCAAAGGAGCGGATGCAAGCCGCAGCACAGGAGAAAAAAATTAAATTCAGTATCCAAGCTTTCCGCAAAACATTGGAAAGCCGCAGCGGCGAACGCTCAGACGAAGTCAAGAAGATGATGTGGGAAGGCGAGTGGATGGAAGAAAGCAAGAAGGCCAAATACGGATACTTGGGAAAAGAGGAAGCGGAACAAAAGTGGCAACAATGGATGTCGGACCCATCCGTGGCCAAAGATCAAAATGGTCCCCGTGGATTTACCCGCCTTGCCATTCCGCACAAGACACTTTTGTCAGGCTTCAGTGAAGTTGCTGCGAAAAAGGAATTCACGCAGGAAGAGCGGTTATCTCGCAACGCAACAGATGCAACAGTGGCGGCTCGCGCCCGCATGGTGGTCACTGACTCCGCCAACGCAGAAGAAGAGGCCGTGGGTGGTGTCAAGCTGGCAGACATTAAAAAAGAAGCAGCGCAACATGGTGTGGACATGGCAGAGATGTATGCCGCCCGCATTCCCGACGCGATAGAAGCGGCAGAGAAGAAACGCCGCTTAAGCGGCAGAACAAGAGGAGACAAAGCCGCAGAAGGGGATGGCGACAAAGAAAAACAAAGCGATGATGAATCTCAAGACAGCAGCAAATATTCTGACGCAGATTGCCCTACGCCCAAACCCAAAGCAGCAAAATGGTTCGATGCAGAAACAAAGTGCCGAAAGGCAGAAAGAACATGGGTGACAGGTCTGGAGGATCTGGCAAATTCGGTGCAAACCCTTTTGAAACAATGCGCTGACTGTCTCGATGGTTTCCGCGGAAAGCCTGAGGCCAACAAGTTCACCGAGGAAATGTCCATTCTAGAGAAGCGGCAAAAATGGGCTGCCGCAATCATAGAAGCAGATGATGCAGCATTGAATGCCCACAAGCAGGAGCAGCAAGCGGAGGAAAAGCAAGCCATGGCAGACTCACAAACTACATCGCAAGATGTGGCGGCTCTAGGTCGCGTGGGCCCATGCAAAGATTATCAAGACTTGCAAACAATTGCACACTTAAAGCAACTGGCAGCGGAATTCCGCACATGCACATCTGCCCAGCAAATAAAGGAAGTAAATGAAAAAGGTGCCAGCCAGAAGAAGCCCATCAATACATTACTAGCAGCGGTAAAAGCCGCCAAAACGGATCTGATTGCAGCAGAAAAAAGAGTCCAAGCGCAGAAGAAGAAAGAGGAAGACAGAGCCGCCAAGGAAGCTGCGAAAGTGGCCAAGGCAGGCGCGGCAAGCGGGAACGCAGCCGAAGGGGAAGCAAGCCGTGCAAATGCTAAGTCTCAAGTCCTGCGGAAAAAACAAGCAGCAACCTCTGTTCTTTGATTGTGATAGTTTGGTTTTTGAAAATGATAGTTTCATTTTGGGATGCAGTTGTTTTTTGCTTTTCAATTTGGGGATGGTTTTCCAACATGTTTCTTTTCATTTTCTAGGGATAAGTTTTCATGCTAAAATTGAAACCTGGAGAGGTGGGGGCAGGTCCGAACAAAAAACATGCTGTAATTCAAACAACAAGTGTCATGATTATGAACCAAACACACGCACATACACAGACACACTGCCAATGATCATCAAGTATCATGAACATATAAATATATACATAAATGTATTTTTTTATATATATATATACTTAATCAATGGTCATGCACATATGATACCAATATAGTGTCACCAAGAGTCATGCACATATGTCACCATCACAAATCATAATATACCATCCAGTGTCCCCCAGTTGTCATCCACTTGTGATACCACCATGCACACATGTCATGAACATAAATATGATACCATTAATTTGTACCTGCAGGTTTCCTGGACAGGTGATGCCGTTGCAGCAGCCTTCAGCTGGGGATGGTGGGGATAACGTCCCTGAACAAGGGACTAGCCCTGAACAAGGGCATCATAACCCCTAAAATAATGGGCTTCAATTCCAAGACTTGGCATTCCAGGCCTTGGCAATTGAATTAAGACATCAAATTCAATTCCAAGACTTGGCGTTCCAGGCCTTGGCAATTGAATTAACACATCAAATTCAATTCCAAGACTTGGCGTTCCAGGCCTTGGCAATTGAATTAAGACATCAACTTCAATTCCAAGACTTGGCATTCCAGGCCTTGGCAATTGAATTCGTATCCATTCCAAGAAAAGGGTTAAACAAAAATCTGTCCCGTAGCTGGCAAATACATACATACACCTCCCTTTCATTTTCAAAGTTGTGAGAATTCATCAGGAATAATTCCAGTCTAGATTTTTTTCATATTCTTATTTTCACAAATGAGTTGGATGACTATATGCATAGTTCCTTTTTTTGTCTGGTGCGTGGCATTTTTGAGGCTTGGTGTGATCTACAGGTGTTCAATGCATATACATGACTATACTCATACACTTCTAGTGGATTGCATGCTCCAACCATCAGGTTCCCAAATGTGGTTGTAGGAATGGAGCTGCATAGGAACCTAAATACCGACTGATTTGACATTAGGATTTCAAATGGCAGACCTTCAACCAAATTAAACAAAAACACACTGCTTTTGAAGACATGATTAGATATGAATAGTTGTGACTAGTGTAACGATGGAACAGTTTGAATTTGCTTACTATGGTCTTTGCACCAAAAGGTGTCGAACTTTAGCTGCTCTTGACAGAAAACACATTGTACCAACAGGGCACTGTTACTCTTCTAGATAAACCATACTCTTAGAGGGACATTCCATCATGCCTCCCTTGGGGATTTCCATTCAAGGTTCCAAATGTCCAAGAGGAACAGAATTGCTTGTTTGCTTCTCTGGGGCTTCAATTTCAATCTGATGTTGTTATTGGTGATGATTATTAAATGTGGAAGCTGAACATGAAATTCAGACTTGGTCATTTTCCAAGTCTGCAAAATCTCTATGGTTCGGTCTCCCAGAAAATGTTTTGGCACAATAGTCAATCTTAAATGCACTTCAAGACTTGGCCTCTCAAGTCTTGCACTGACAAACGTGATCACTGAGACTTTAAG